CATATATCTTTATTACTTCTATCAGGTATGTGATTGAATTACAACTACAAAAGACATATTGGTCCTTCTTCCAAATTATACAAATATATTTATACTCCATCTATATATATATATATATATGTGTATTTTGAAAAGGAAAGAAATGAAAACAAATGGTGCTCAACAACAAACATGTATAATCATAATTAGATTAAAAAGACTGTGTACTTCTAATGCATATGCAGATATTAATACCTCTTTGGCGTCTTTGGCAAAATAATGTCTTCTATATTTGTCGAGAAAGTTTCTCTCTTAATAATTGTTGCACCATGGTCGAGCAGTCAGACCATCCTCTTGAGTTACATGCGTCGAGAGCTCTGGAAGCCAGGGCTGATCCCTAACGTCGAGAATTGACGGTTAAGGAAATATCCTTAGGTTGAGGAGCACTCTTAAAGCTAAGGCATTGAAGTCAAGAAGTTCTTAAAAGCCTTTGAAGGTCTCTGCGTTTAGAAGTCTATAGAATCAGAGAAAAGACTAGAAGATCAAATTCAAATCCAATCCTGCCAAATCAGGAGAGGATAAACCTCATCAAATATCTGAATTCAAATGGAAAGATCAGATGTTGATCAACGAAAATAATTCCCCCAAATTTGGATATTCAAATATGGAGATATAGCTATAAAATCCCCTAATTAGTGGAGATAAAGGAATCGTCATCGGGAAATTAGGGATAAGAGTCTTTGAATTCAGGAGAGCCTATAAATAAAGGATGAACTCCTCATTTGATTTTTTACGCACTATTTTTCCTACTCTAAGAGAAATTGTAAATTCTGAGAATTAGTGCATCCACAAATGGATGTAGGACAAGAGTTTATGTCGAACCACTATAAACCTTTCGTGTCCATTTATTTTCTGCAATTATTTTTTTGGCAGTTTTGTGTGAATCTTGACACGAGTGTTCCCAGAGAGTTGAAATTCTGAGTTGACGATTTTTCATTATCAACAATAATTTATCCTGCGTATTACAGAAGTAATGTGTTTAAACTTAAAGAGAACAATGAGTGGATTGAGAAAGATATTATAAACTTTATAGCTAATATATATTTTTTGAATGGGGTAAAAACAATAAAAAAGGAAAGCTTCTTTTTTGAGAATTCAAAAAATCTAAAGGGATAATTGCAGGCATAGATTAGCAGAAATTTTACACCTAATTCCACCGATGAGTTCAAATCTCTTACCCCGTTAAAAAAAAGTGAAAAATCATCAATTTCAAGCACAAAATTAAAAAAAAAATCATTAAATTATTTCACACTCGTTTCAAATTAAAAGATAGTAAATTTTAATTTTAAATCTAGTTAAGCATAGTTTCTTCTATAATTTGCGGAGACAGTTTGTTTTTTTATTATTATTAAAGTTTGTTCCGCTTTTTAGAGAAGTAATGTGTTTAATGAGAACAATGAGTTGATTGGGAAAAATAATTAACTTTATAGCTAAGAACAATTAAAGAGGAAAGTGTATTTTTTTTTCTGAGAATAAAAAAACGATTGTAGTTTGAACAAGAGAAAACCATGTTAAACCGGTTTTCAAAATTTCCATCTCTCTAATGGTTATTTGATTTGTGATATATCCAGCTTTGAGAAGTAGGTTTAATTTTCTCGTTTAAATCGTCAAAAGATATTGAAGCAATTGCAAATGAAGGCTTTTGAGGTACTAAAAAATTGGATTTTAATCTTTGGTTTTGCCTCTGTTCTCTATTTCTCTCTTTCTCTTATTTGCGTCTGCTAATTTCAGGGGTTCCATGTTTTTGACTTGACATTAAAAACAAGAGACCATGTTGGTTTGGTTTTTCCTCGTAATCCAAATTCTGACCGTGTTAGAGCTGCGGCTGAATTTTCTTTGAAAGAGTACAACAAAACTAAGGAATTTTGGTTTGGTTTCTTTCTGTTTTTTTGACATTTATGCTGTTCAATTTATAGTTTTGTTTTTTTTTTTTCTAATTTGTTAATTTGTTTTTTAATTTTTTTTGTTTATCTTAGGGGACGAATCTGGAGCTTAAAAAGATGGTAACAGCGACTTCAAAAACAGAAAAACTTCAATAATTAAGATGTATTTAACTTTTGAGGCTTCGGACGGGTGTTACTATGAAGCCCTTTTAGATAGCTTCGACTTTACCAAACGAGAAAGACGTTTCATTGTGGATTTCTGTAGGCCAGCAATTCATTATCCCTAAGCTTTTTCTTCTTTTGGACCTTAGCAGTACTGCTTTGTTGTTAGTGCTTTTGTAGGGGAAGTTGGACTTTTTTGGGGAGCTATTGCATTTACACGTCTCTCGAGACTTTAAAGTCTCGTTCGTTTCGTTAGTTCAAGTTAAGAATTTGAGTTAAAAATGAATTAATGTGAGAGAAAATACTGTAGTAAAAAACGTTGCTTTGTGAGAGAACACTGTAGCAAAAACTTGAGTTATGAAACGAGAGTTGTTTTTAGTTACTTGTTTATGTATCTACAATGAAACTAGTTTTATATATATTCGGTGGTTTTCATTCTTGCCCTTTTATGTAACTGATGCAGAAACTGTAATTTTGGCTTTGTTTTAAATTTGGAGCTCTTGATATCGCATTTTGCAGCAGTATATGTTCGAATGATTTTGTTCCTATTAAGGTTGATGTTTTACCACTTATTCTCGGAGTTGCTAATAAATTTAGTCAGTATTGTATGCTTTTTTTTTATATCATTGTTGATCCTAATTCTCTCTCTATGCACGTCGTTTGTAAACATGTTACTATGACCATGTCGTTTTTTCTTTTCTACTAAAAAAAATCGTATAAATGTTCTATAAGCCTATTGGAGTAACAATTAAACATTATTGTTCAGACTAATACTTCCACAAAATATATCTGATTTTAGTAATAATATATTTTTTTCAATTAAATAAGGGTTAACCTCGAATGAAAAAATTAAGGGTCTGATTTGATACATAAATTAACAACAAAATAATATAAAAATCTCAAGTTCTCAATTAAAATGTTTTTAAAAAATAGTCACTGACCTCAAGATCTCATTTGGACTTATGTTTAACCTGAATTCTAACTCTAATATACATAAATATATACACGAACAAAATGTCGGATAAAATTTCATAAAATTAATTGCGCCAGATGTGCAATTTTTGTTGACGGCGTGACTCAACCTCGACATTGTATACTTCTGGGACGTTTGGTTCATGGATTCAGAACCATTTTCATTTTATGTGTATTTTTTGTGAGAGAAAATACTGTAACGAGCCACGAACCATGATTCGAACCATGACACGAATCCCTCTTCTAAACACACTCTTCATGATCACTATCATAAATGTAGAAAGCCGTCTCTAATCTCAACTCTTTGTGTGTTTTTTCATGGTTACTATCCGTACTATATTTTCTGAATTTTAGTATATATCAAGAAGAAAAAACGTGCTTGATCTGGTTTTCAAAATTGCCATCTCCTTAATTGTTGTCGGATTTGTGATATGCGGCTTTGCGAAGTCGGTTTTCTCGTCTAATGTCTCTCTCTATTACATCTATCCCTGTCTTTCTCATATTTTGCGTTTGTTAATATGTTGAAGAATTGGAATCAGAAAAAATAGACCGTGTTGGTTTGATTACACCTCGTGATCCAAATTCTGACAATATTAGAGCTGCGGCTGAATATGTACTGAAATAGTACGATAAAACTCAGGTTTAGTTTGGCTTCTTTTGTTTTTGACTTTTATGCTCTTCAATTCTTAGTTTTTTTATTTCTTTTTATTTTTTTCCAATTTTTGTGTGTTCTTATATGTAATTATTTGATGGGGGATGAATCTGGCATTTAAAAAGATGGTAAAGAGCGACTGCAGGACCTTTTACGATTGAGATGTTTCTAACTTGTAAAACTAAAGTTACCATGGCTTTACACACTCTCATACATTCCAAAGACAAAAGTACTATGTGCAATCCTTTGGTAGAAAGCATAGTTCTACTAGAGTGCATTTACTTAAACTCGGCTTCATTTGGCCAATCAAATACGGTTCCTGTTAGAAGAAGTGGAGCCTAATCACGTGTAGAAGAAAAGCAACGAAAAAGGAAGGAAAAAAAATTGGCGCAGCACCGTGGCCTTGGGTTTGGGCGCCGCGGCGCCAGAAGGCTGCTGCATGCAGCAGCAGGCACATCACCATGGCACTCTAGAAATTGGCCTCAGCGCCAGTAAGGTGCGCATGCGAGTTTGAGGCGTAACCAGGTGAGCACCGCAGTGCCAAGGGCCTATTTTTTGGGGGCTGCACGCGAGGAAGTCGGTTTTAGGCCTTTTTTTTTTTTTTGGGTTTTTCTCCCTTGTTTTGGGATTATATAAATACGTAAGATTCTAGGGTTTTATTATCACGAATTTTCTGAGAGAAAATTGGAGTGTGAGGCTATGAAACATCTTTTAAGTGAGAGAAACACAAAGAATGCAGGGAAGGGCAAACGAATTGGTAATCAACTCGTGATTTTCTCTGTAACAAATTTCTTTAACAATTAGTGGAATCTGCGGTGGCAGAATTATGACGTAGCCAAATTAGTAAACCTGTATAAAATCTTTGGTGTGATTTTGTGCCTTTTTTTTCGTTCGTTATTTTTCGTTCTCTGTTATTTACTTAGGTGTTAGGCAAATTTTCCCAACAGTTCCTGTAGTTTAAAAGGAAAGAGCAAGCAACAGTGAGCAATGATAAGGAGGCAAAAAAAAAAAATGATCTCCCAACTCTAGCCAGATGAAGCGCCTCCAGCTATTCTTGAGAAGTTAAAATAGTACTGTAAGCGATCTCAAGAAAATGGTTTTCCACCTATGGCTCAAATGAATGATACAAAAATAATCCGGAGTCAAAAAATACATTCCGATCGAGTGACTTCAGTGATATGAAAAAGTTACAGATTAATTCTTTGGGTCAATCAAAATAAACAACTCTGTTTGAATTTTAAGAAAAAAAAGATAATATAAGATAAAATAAACAACTCCATTCAGTGCATTCACTGGTTGTTTTGTGTATTATCTTACTCAACTTTTCAAACATACAACAACTGACAAGGGCGGCTTATTTCAAACAAAAATCTCACTGTAGTAAATAAACTTTGCATCGCAAATAATTTAATTACGTTTGGACTTTTTTTTTTTTTTTTTTAATTTTCCTACTAATTGATAGTTGGTGTCACTGACCAATTGGCCAAGCTTGTGATCACCACGCTAGCTAGGGTTTGAGTAGGTCAGGTAGGTTGAAAAAGCTGACGTGTTAAACCCATTGAAGTTTGACCTAAGAGCCGAAGAATAAGCACCCATGTTGGGGAACACAAGCCAATCGTTGACCTCAAGATCCGGTAGCCCATGGCCTTTCATCACAGTATCAAGTGCATCCAAAGTGGGTCCAAACACCGTCGAGCTGTAGGTTAAAGCTCCTTCACATGTTGGGTTCTCACGGTTGGAGTTGCAGCCAAGAGGCCTGCACGTCAAATTTTTCGGCTCAAACAGTGCGCTGCACATAAGGGACCCATAAACACCGTCGTTTATCCAGTACTCCCTCAGCTCCCCCCTCACTCGCTTCCCGATAATGTTGGCGGCTAACGTGAAAGCCGACTCTACGAAAAACCGGCCCGGCTCGGCTATGATGCTCATCCCTGTTGTGTCGGGGAAATAGGTCTTAAGAGCGGGTCTTATCGTTGAAGCCGCTTCTTTCAATT